CCCCCCCCCCTCCGCGGTTCAACTCCCAGCTGCGCCGTGTAGGGGGTTGGTTGAACGTGGTTGGTTGGGTGTAAACGGTGGCTTGGTGTAAAGTGTGCTGCTGCTGCTGCCGCTCTGCTGCTTGCTGCTCTGCTGCTTGCTGCTGCCGCTGGTTGCCGCTTTTGTAGCTGCTGCTTTGCTACTTGTTGCGGCTGACGACGCCGCTGCTACTGCTGCTTGCTGCTTGCTGCTTGCTGCTTGCTGCTGCTGCTGCTTGCTGCTTGCTGCCGGTGGTGCTGCTGCTGCTGCGGCTTGATGCTGCGCTGCTGCTGCGTGGTGCTGCTGGCTGGCTGCTGGTTGGTGGTTGCTGCTGGCTGCTGGCTGCAGGCGGCTGCTGCTGCTGCTGCTGCTGCTGGCTGCTGCTTGCTGCATAGGACTTGTACTTCACCGTTACAAGTTGTTTACCCCTATTTCTAACCTAATGCATGCATAAGCGGGTGGTAAATTTACCCCCCAGGCTTGCTATAACCATACACCGGCTATTTCCTCAAGACACTCTATTCTTGATACCTTTTACCAGTGCTTATCCTACACTACGGACGCCCTAGTGTATGCACAGTCCTTGTGATGCTTACCCCTCGTTCCGGCTCAAGGCATACATAAGCGGGGGGTAAATTTACCCCCCAGATTTGCCATAACCATAAGCCGGCCATTTCCTCAAGACACTCTACTCCTTATACCTTTTACCAGTGCTTATCCTACACTACGGACGCCCTAGTGTATGCACAGTCCTTGTGACGCCAGAAATGCCTACCCCTCTTCATACATAAGCGGGGGGTAAATTTACCCCGCAGATTTGCAATAACCATACACCGGCTATTTCCTCAAGACACTCTATTCCATATACCTTTTACCCGTGCTTCTCCTACACTACGGACGCCCTAGTGTATGTACAGTCCGTATGATGTCAGAAATGCTTACCCCTCTTTCCGACTCAAGGCATACAAAAGCGGAGGGTAAATTTTCCCCCCCAGATTTGCCGATCACGCATCTTCGTGCCTGCCAACGAGTGCACCCGGGTTGTTCCAATGTACCCTTCCCAGTCAGCGATGTCACATTTACATTCTTTAGCGCAAAGTATGTACATAGCAACCTTCCTCCCAAAACATGTAATCCCTACATGCTTTGCCGACTATGTAACTAGTACATCCGGTGCGATTCGGCTAGCTTTCGACCTCTCCCCCCTGGCCTCAAGTTCAGACTGATGCTGTTTGTTGGCAACCTTCGTCAAGCAGCTTCAACATGGTGTTAGCGCACGGGGAACGAGATTGCGCAGTCTGGAGGTGAAAGCCTTCAGCTTGTTAGCTTGAGCGATTCAGAGAGACTCCAGGGCCACGCTGGCCCAGGCCATATGGGTGAACGCACAGCGGTAACGCTCGCTAACCACAAACTGATGGGGACAAACCATCCATGTGATGCAAACAGCATTTCTAGCATGCATGGTGCATGCGGAGGTGACTCGACGATGCGCGAAACATCCTAGAACGATGTAATATAATGATATATGAAGATACCATCTAATTAACACAACAACAAGATAACATATGCAATTACAGCGTGTACAGTACATACAGCCGGGTGAACAAGATAACATGACTGCAGTGAAGCAAAGTGCAACCAGCCTTTCACATCATCCAAGGAACCAAAACGATGTCACCTTCAACACAAGCTTGCATAGGTTAGATCGCCTCGACCTTGCTGCGATGCCGTACTGCGGCCCCAGTGGTGCTACTGAGATTTGCCGCTGGGCCAACATCCCACCAGGGGATGAGGTTGAGGTTGAGTTCGACATGCCCGAAGGCTGCAAAGCCAGAGAAGCTTGGTCAGTTCAATCCGGCGTTTCCTTGCATCGCGTCGCCAGGGTTTCTCAAGAAACGATATGCCGTGACAGAGTTGCTGGCCACGCCCTCGAACCTCGCATAATGAACCCCGTGTACCCGGGTGGTTCATCCTCGGGAATCAGGATGGAGTCTTTTCTAGTCCATGGCAGGAACGTTTTACACACCTTCTCTCCAGGATTCTTTCGAATAGCTAGTGATTATAGTGAGTTATGGCGGATTGAGCAGGAATCAACTCTTACACATGTGCGGGGTGCACCCTGGCATTTCAGAGGGCAGGCGGTGACACTCAAGCTCCAGAAACTTCACGAACTGTTTTTGCATCACCCCACGGAACTGATTCACAACCAGTCTGATCAGTCTGTTGTAATTGCATTTGTTGCATGGGAGTGGACAAGGAGCAAACAGGACTGACCGACCTGCAGGATGTGGAGGTGAAGATTCGCGCCAGCCATGTGCTGGTGAAGATCAAAGGCCAGACACTGCTAAATGATGAGCTTTTGAACCGCTGCGATGCTGACATGTCTCGATGGGAGATCCGTGGGTCAAGATTGGTGCTGGTGCTGCAAAAGGCGGCTGGCTCGACAATACCTTGGCCGAATGTCTTCGTGAAGGATTGCAAAACCGAGTTTGACTTGGCTGATGTCTTGTGACTTCTGGGCCTTCTTTTCACTCGGCTGGGGCGCTCACTTTGCACCTGGACAGGGTGCATGTGACATCTAGGCCAGTGCGTTGTGCAGGAGGCAGGGAAAAGAAAGCGCAGACATGCGCCCAGGGCTACCACAATTGAGTTGGGGTATTTAAATGGCGGTTTCGCTTTTGAGTTCTTGGCTTGGTGAGTTGCCTGCCTGAGTACACATGCTGAGTTGGATATTGTTTGACGGTCCACCTGTGTAATTGCCGCAGTTGTCTGTGTGTATGGTTGTCATCGCTAAATACTAGGTTGCAGGCCATTAGGTTGGAGGCCATCTCTAGTAGCTTGGAGGCCATCGCTATTAGGTTGGAGGCCACCGCTAGTAGGTTGAGGCCATTCCAAGTAGGTTGGAAGCATTTCATGTTTTTCCCCTCCCAGAGAGCTGAAAGACTCCAGGAGTTCGTCCTCAACACGGAGGCTCAGCCGTTGAAGGTCTTTGATTGAGGAGAGACTGCAGGAATAGGCCTCCTGGTGCCAATTGCCCATATTTATTTGTTCGTTTATACTTGCGCACACATATTCAAGTGGAGTAATTCAACTTTTCAACTCGGTCTTTCCTTCGAGTTACCCAGCTACTTGAACCAATCACGGCTTCAAGGAGGCAACCTCATGGGCAAAGCTCTGGGCAAGATCCTGGCCACGTAGGACCTGCTGGGACGACGCTGGATGCGGGAGATTCCAAGCTGGGCAACGAGCTTATTCATAGTAATCTATATTATATAATGTTAGCAATAACAATAGTAGCACGCACACAATATAGTTTTTCATCTCTCACACACCATATATATATATATATGTGTGTGTACTATGCATGCATATGTGATGTGGCTGCCATGACATGACCATGGCATGGACGAGACCATAGACTCATAGACATACAGTATATTACCCTACCACCTCTGGCGACTCGTGGTCAGGACCTGCAACTTCAGATGGGCCAAAGAAGCCGTTGGATTTGCGGAAGCCAAAATGGAGCGCCGACCCGCCAGGCGAATGTGGTCATGTTGTGGATCTTGGTTTTGAGTACGGAGGGTGGACTGGGCGTTCAACAAGACTTGACTGGCGAAGGGGGCGAGAGAGTTCGCATTTTTGGCGGATAAATGCAGTTGGGAGCCAAGCTCTGCAGCACCCAAAACCGTACTTAGTTCTCAAATGCTTTTGAGCAAAGTTTGAAAAGACAGCCATGGAAAGCCACCGAGACTTACTGTTGCACTGACTGCCAATGGATCGGCGGTGGGGGACATGGATCGGCGATGATCGGCGGCTCGCATGCATTGGTTGCATGACTGGGCCGCCCAGGGACTCACGGAAGGATGCGTGTGAAGCAGATGGAAGGACTGAGAAGCATTCCAAATATTGCAACATTAGCAAATGTGAGCTGGCACTGGCTCAAACTTGTCTTAAACTCTTACTGCGACATTGCACATTTAGGCCTTATAGCAAGTTGGAATTCTCCGCAAGAGTTGGCAAACCATGCATCATCCTGTTACTCACAACAAGTGGTTGATATGTCATGCACCTGCACATAGCACCTCAACGCGTAGCACATCATAATCACAATGTGAGAATGTCGGAGAGTGTTTGACAACGCTGGGCATCGGGATGCATAGGGATGAACATGGCAGCTGGTGGCATTCCCTGTCATCGCACGGCATCCTCCACCGACTACCCCGATGAGATCTCAGTGTCTCCAACTGGTGAGACGATCGCCGTCGAAAGCGGTGACAGACATTCCGATTCCAAAGCGTTCGACCCATGAGATCGCCTTGCGACCACAGTTGGCACCCACTTTATCGCCTCCTCACCAGCGCGAGGAGGCGGGAGAGCTGCAGCGGCGGATCCACGTTGCCTCGGTGGAGGAGTTGCGGGACTTGATTCAACTTGAACTGCCCAACTTTGATGAACACCACGCGGTGAGCTCCTTGGAACGACTGGCGAGTGTGCATGTGGATGTAATGGATGAAAGTTCTGACAGACTTTTCAAGGCATTGCTACAACGTCTTCACAGCGGGGAGATGGAGACTTCAACCTTGGCGCGCCTGGGAGCTGCGGCTGTGTCTTTCTCTCAGGGTGAGGTGGTGAACGCTGTGTCTGCCAGAGCGACTGAGCAAGCTGCTGAATTTGGAAACCGAGAACTTGTGATCTTGGCTCGTGCCATGGCCCTGGCTGGTGAAGAAGGTGCTGTTGCTGCCCTGGTGAATGGGGCTGCACCTCGTGCAGCTGCTCTTGGGGCCAGGGCTCTGGTGCGCTTGGCATGGGCCTCTGCAACCGTGCGGTGGCAAAATCCTGCTTTGGACCAGATCCTTGAAGAAGCTTCTCTTCGTTCTGATCGACTTCGGCCACTGGCCATGTCAAACCTGCTTTGGTCCATGGCATCGCTGCGGAACGGAAACCCACACGCCCTGCGTTCGTTGTTGCCGCATGTGGTGCACCGATGCCGGGATCTGTCTCCACAGGGCCTGGCAACAGGACTGTGGTCTTTAGCAGCGCTACGCCCCCAAGGAAAAACAGTTGCGAGACCTGGATGGATGGAAGAGGATGCGATTTTGCGAATGTCAGCTCAGGCCATGCGGAAGATCGAAGACTTCAGCCCAGAGGACTTAGGTGCACTGGCCCGTGCGACCGCGGTGTTTGCATCTGCTCACACAAGAGGGGGGGATTTCTTGCCACTGGCCGAAGCAGTGCTCAGTGAAGCCACCAAAGACATGGCGCGATTGCAGAGCTTGTCGCCCCGACAGTTACAGAGGCTCCTGGGTTCCATGGCACGATGGCGTTGCCGTGACCAGGACTCTTTGGAGCAGTTAGCCGGTGAGGTGAAACGGAAAGCAAGTCAACTAAACACCCATGAAGCTGCTGCGATTATTTGGGCTTCGGCTGCCTTGCAAGTTTCATCAATGTTAGTCCCAGTGCTCAGTGCGCGTGTGGCGGAACTGGTGGAAAGTCATCCGAAGGCAGATTCTGCATTTACAGCTGTGGCTGGTCTCCTTTGGGCTGCTGCTTTGCCGGCCAAAGCTGGAAGCGTCGAGATTGGCTGCTTGAGTATTGATCCCAAATTCTTGAGTCTACTAGGCAGCTTCGCAACAATCAGTGCTGCTGAAGCCCCGACTTACCAACTCTCTGGTGTCGCTGTAGCTGGGGCAAGGCTTAGACTGCCGACGACCGGCATTTTGAGAACCGTTCTTCTGGAAATCATCTCTCGTGCCGAGAGGAGCTCTTTGGAAGCACAGGATTGTGCCTTGGCTGCTCACGGTTTTGCCACCCTCGGCTTGGGAAGGGAGGGGATGTTGTTAGAGATTTTGAGCCGGAACTTCCTGCAGAGGGCTGGGCGCCCTGTGGAAGGCTCGGACACCGCCAGAGATTGGTCCGACATGGTGGAGGCCTCGATGCGCAGTGGTGATGGTGACGGTGTTCGTGGCCACTTCGAAGTCGAAGTGATGGCCGTCTATGAAGACTCTGTCGTGGTGCCTTTGTTGCAGCACCTGAAGGCCATTGCTTCGCGACAGCCTTCGTTGGAGCCTTCGCTTCGCTCCTTGGAGCACTTCGCTGCCACCTTGGCCTTGCCAGGCCTGGGAGCCCATGTGACCCGACAGGTCCTGCAGCGAACGGCCTTGCGTGAGGAGGTGCCGGAGGAGACCTGGGCCTCAGCACGGAGAGCGGTGAAGGCAAGGCTTTGGGCGACGAGCTCCGTGCGGAACGCGTGGTTAGCCTACCGACTCTCCGTGGCATTTGCCGGGGAGTCAGGCGAGGACGAGCTCCAGGAGGTCTCTGAAGAGCCCGGGCGCCTCGTCGGCGCGGGAGAAGCGGGGCACGCGGAGCAGCTCCCCGGACTCCTGCGCCCTCTAGCGCTGCCGGGCGTTTCAGCTGCCGGGCGCCATGCGGAGCACCAGGCCGTGCTGGCGGTGGTCCGAACCCTGCGCGTGATGGAGCAGCGCTTGCGGCGAGCTGGAAGGAGATCGCGAGCCGTAAGGGCCCAAACAGCCCAAACGGACAAAAGCCTAAAACCACCATTTTCAGGTTTTCACGTGAGTGGCATGGTGCAGATCTATGGCTTTGGCTCCGCGCCGTCCCTCTCCTTTCTGGCAGTCCTGGCACAGCTCCAGAGACACTTCCCGTCGTTGCTTCTGAACATCGACTTTGATGATGATGTTGCAAGGATGCCCAAACCTTATCCCTTTGACTAATGCCAAAGTGAGAACGGTGGCTTCATAGTGTTGAGCCTTCTCTGTGAGACAGACACAGAGCTGCCTTGAAAGAGTTTGCCATGTGAAGACCCGGGTGGGACATATAAGCAGATCAATGTTCTGTTGTTCCATGTTGTTTCTACCACAACTTTTATGCGTTTAAACGCACTCTATACGGTCTTTGCATGTTTTGCTATATATGTATCCTTAGCAGAGTTCAGAGCAACCGGCATCATAGCTTTTTGCTTGCACGGGGCCATCCAACAATTTGTATTCTAATGCCATGTCCTACAGGGCGGCACTCTCCCTTACAGAAGCAAACTACTTGCAGCAGGGAAGAGCCCCCACACGAAGCCGAAGGAAGTATCGAAGGACTCTCATCATGAGTGGCTTTCTCCGCTACTTGCCTGGTGCTTTGTACACATTGAAAAGTAATACTGCATAAAAGGTTGCACAAAATCTGACACCAACAAGCTGCCTTCAACGCAAAACCATTAGTTTCACACAGGTCCTTGACTTGCTGATTCATTTTGGCAAATCGTTTTCCTTGATTGACACTCAGTGTTGCAGTGAGCCTTACAGGTGGGCTTATATAATTTTTGCCAGCACAGATCATTCAACAAAGATCCTGACTTCGCGGATTCACGTTGGCCGCAGCCAACTTTTTGCAGCTCATATCCGGGAGTGGGGAAATGACTGCCCCGCCCGAGTTCAGCGATGGCTCCGAACTTCAGGAGCGACTCGGGTCATCCGACTGCTGACTTGATGGTCTTGGATGTTAACGACTTGCGAAATAATATGAAATAATGTTCTCCCAATCTTTGGGGGTCTCACAGAGAGTGTATGAGAATGTCCTAAGATTTCCACATCACAGAAGGGGGATTCTGAGTAGCACTTGAGAAGGGTGATATCCTGGATTGAGTTGAGTTTTGAGGGTGCCAAACATTTGTTTTGGATTCTTACTTCAGGCAATTATGAAGAACCTGCCCATTACTGTTGCTTTTGGAGGTGATGCAGATGCAAGATTCATTTGGCCCAAGAAGAAGTTCAAAGGCCCCACTACAGTCAACTTTGCTGTACTCTACATACACGGACTTACAGTATATAAAAAAATGATGTTACTCCAAAGTAGGCCCCCACACCCAACATCCGGAATTCTACAGATCGCAGATCCTATCTGAATCTCAACGTCAGGAATGCGAGCGGGCGAAACTGAACGCCATTAACTTTTTTGCTGTTTTGTGATGTTGATCCTGAAAAGGTTCTGGCAGTGTTTCCTTATTTGTGGTATGTTGAAATTTGTGAGCCAGTCTCCAGGAGGCACTCTAGCACTCTTGCTTTTGCCTTTCGCTTTTTGATGTTTCTTTATCAGCAAACCGTGTGGTTCAGGTGCGCATCTGGCAGGAGGATCCAAATTCAACAGTATGAACTCAACCATTCTGATTTGTTTTCTTCTCAGGAGCTTCTGGCACATCCTCCGCCCTGCGTTGACCGACGTTCAAGGCTAAGATTGGTGGCGGGCATTAGTGGCAGCATGGGCTTGGGCTTCCTGATTGCGGCCGTGCCTTGGAAAAGCTGAGCCCTTCGCTGCACGTTTGCTGAATGAACAAGGGCTATGCAGCTCATAGACGCTGTGCCAGGTCCATGGCGTTGGTGTAGAGAGTCTCTAAGCGGTTGCAGGTTTAGTGGGATATTCTGAGACATGACAAGGCATGAAAGGAACTCCTTGCTGAGGTCTCCTGAGTCTTGAAGCCAGGTTTGCTGGATCCTGCCCTTTCCCATTGCTGTACACCCTGTATCCAGCTTAGATTCCTCAAACATGCCCTGCACACAGTGGTATTTAGGGGGCATAGTTACTGTACCTACATAGTAGGTGGAATTCTATGCCTATTCATCCATTGCATACTCATACTCTACCGCAGCTACCTTTTTTGTTTGTTTGTCTCATGCTGAAGGCGTTGCCTTATCCAATCATGTTGGCGCTTGAGGTATCAAGTTATTTGTGTGATATTCAGTCACCAGTTTGTTGATACCCAACCCTCTCGGAGCTCAGCCTACAGGCAACGGGTCTGATAGAGGGGCTGCCTTCGTGACCGCCAGTGAGGGCCTGTAGTCAAGCCGGAACATATGATTTGTGTCGATGGAGAACCTTGAGCATTTACAGAGTTGCTGTTCGACTTACCCATTACAGCTGTCCGTCACTATATATATATATATACAGTAGTCTTTGGGTGGCGTTTGTTTGTGGAACTGTCATGTGGCCTAAGGTGTTCGTCTACAATCCTCATGGGCTTCAAAGCAGGACCCGTACGTTTCTGGGACTAGCTCTCGACCAGGCCAGCAGCATGTGTTTGAAAAGCTGATGCAGGTTGAACGAGAGAACTTCCTGAGGAACGACGGGATTCCTTAGTTCTTCAAGCATTCTTTATATACCCTCAACACATGTGCTTATTGACCCAGCACACAGTCATAGTAGGCTAGACCTTCCCTAAGATTTTGTTCCTCAATACAGTCTGGAGATGTTTGGAGTCTAAACTTGAATGCTCCTAGTAGCGTCCTTGCTCCTAGTAGTAAGGCCAGCCCCTAGTAGCGTCCTTGCTCCTAGTAGCGATGCCAGGAGCCCCTAGTAGCTTCTTTACTACCTGAATTCAGGTTGACCGTGAAGACTTGCAGAACTGCTTCTCGGAGGGCATGTTCTATGATGCCCCGCGGACGCTTCCGGGCACCGGACGCACCGTGGAGCTGAACCCCGAGCTGTGTCAAGAGAGATGCCAAGGACCATCAGCAATTGAAGGAGTATGAAAAAAATTGAACCTTGCACACGCGCCCACACACAGAGACAGATTTCCGGGGGGCGGACAATGTGACAAGCTACTGAACCACCAACAAGTCCAGTACACACGCACATCTCTTCATCGAGGTTTTGGATTCCAAGAAAGTCAGACTCGGATTATGTGAGCAGTATCAGAGCCAAGAGCACTTGATTGACCTGTCAGTCGCCGTCCTGCTTGGCAGATCAAGCAAGCTGTTATGCTGCTTTATGTATCTTTATGTCACAGAAAAAGGCAAACAGTTCCAAGAAGTGATTCCAAATGCACTCTGCCGCATTTTGGGGGGTCAAACTGATCATGGCATCATCCTGGCGATCCTGGCCCGTGGTTCTGCAGTCTATCGCTCCTAGAGTGTGTGAAAGCCAGTCACAATAACCAAATAGGTCCGTCTATCAGAAGCTAGCCGCTAGCTAGCCCAGCTAGGGGGTCGCTTCATTAGCTCGTGTATGCCAACGCGCTTGTAGAAACGCCTCAACATGTTCACATCTTACAGATTATTTTGAAGAACCCCTCCAATGTTTGGAGTAAACAGTGGCTCTAAGTTTTGCAAACATCCCAGTTTCAGGTCCCTCAGGTTGCAACTGAAGCCTGTGTGCAGGAACTGAAGCCTGTGCGCATTTCACCTTCTGGCCAGATGGTGGGTGTTTGCTCACTGGGGCGGACTCAGAGCTGAAGGCTTCTCCTGACAGGCGCGTGGAGCGCGCGCGTGGAGCTTGGGCCAATGCCAGACGATCCGAGATGCTACAGATAAAGCTTTCCGAATCCGAGTGAATGGACATAGAAAAACAGCCATTCGAAAGGGCGTATTCTGGACCCTGGACAAACTGGAATCAACTGGAGTTGTTTGGGTTTGTGTCTTCGTGGAATGCCCTCGAGGTACTCCACCACTGTCACTGGCCCGAAGTATTGCCAAAAGGCCCTAGAGAAGGCGGAAGCAGTCTTGGATGAGCTGGAAGTGGAGGAAAGCGGCCCACACCATGAGGACTTTCTTAAGTCCTGCGGCGTCATAGTTTCGTGTTTGCCGGTGGCGCAATGGAAGCGGGGAAACGTCTGAGGCTGTTATGAGCAATGATATATTATATATCGCTCTATATTTCATTATGTAAAGTATTTAATTTGTTTGCTGTCATGCGAGATGCATGCCACAGATCCTGGAAAAGAGGTGGTACGTAGGCCACTCTTTGGTCTTTTAAAGGCTTGGGAAAGATTCAAAGGTCCGGGTGAAATTATGTGCCACTGAGGTTTTGGTTGCTTGGGGGAATGAATTTTGATGCAATTAGATGAGCAGCCAGGCAAAGATAGACATATATAGTTGCAGGAGTCTTTGAGCTCATGGGGTGGAGGAGCCCTGGCTGAAAGGTGGCTGGGAGCTGGTCAGTTGCCATCGGTGTAGAATGTAGAAGTAGTGAGCGATTTGGCTTTGGCCGGACACTGGCAGATTTGGTGGTTGGGGCGCTTGACAAGTTTCCTAGAGTCCTAGAGCTTCCTGTGAGATACTGCTCTCCAATAATACGATAGCGAATGCAATAAGTCACCCAAGCAAAGACCTGGCTCAGGAAAGTATTCAGCTGTAGAGCTTGAAAAGGGGAGCGTCAAGGAAGTCCTGAAGGATGTCAAACTGGCGACGAAAACAGCCATGGTGGACAGAGGAAAGCCAGAACCACTTCCAGGTGTGAATGGGTCCACTTGCGTTGCTTGGTTTCAGAATACGGTGCATTGGGAATTGAGTAGGGGCGCCGGGAGGGGATAACAAACTTGTCAAAGCACTCAGCCACTCAGTGGTGCATTTGTGAACAACAGACGCAGGCTGGGCAGACTGCAAAGAGTAGGAGCCTGACCAGCGAGCACCACCCCCTTCAGCCGCAGTGACAAAGTCGGGGTTTCTCTTCTCACCAACGCTGCAGCTGCTTCTTGCTTTCTTTTTTCTGCAATTCTACTGTTGGTGTGGCTATGGCTGCGAGAGCGTCTTTGGTTGCGTTGGGCCTGCTTTTGCCCAGTGATATCTTTCCCCAATCTTTCAAGACACAGTTATGCTACCAGTAGAAACTGACTGCCATTTACTGGGCCATAAAGGCAAGAATCATTATGGCATTCAATATGAGTAGTGCTTCGGGTATTGGGAGTCCAGTGGGTGTGCACACTGCATTGACATACAGAGCATGCTTTTTTTGCGATCGGCCTGACCATGGCAAGAGTGCTTGCATCGCAAGAACAACTTCCAACCAAAACCGTGTCACTTGATGTGATTTATCCTACATCGATAGCAGCATCACCGGTCAAATCAATTGGCTTCAGAAAAATCGACACTAGACCGCCACTCCACTGAGACGCTGAGGCGAGCTATCCGGCGTGTGTCGCAGCTGGGATGTCACAAGGGAATTGCTGCCCCAATTTGAACCATATTGCCCTCGACTGCTGCGATGGCTTCCCCAAGGCGGTTTGGCAGGACGATGAACAATTCTCATCCTCGGCGCTTGTGATGCACTAAGTTATACTAAGTTCAAGCATGTTCAAGCTGTTTGCTATGTACGACTTTTCCCAGCTTTTGTTGACATGTATTTTCATGTGTTTCCGAAGCTATGCACCCAAGAAGGCTGCCCAAAGAGGTGAAAGGCGTCACTTGAAATGCCGTTCACAATCACTACCATACACTACGGGGAGCCTGGAGATGGGAAAGGATTTGCTGTATATGGGTTTGTATTTTTTGGGCGTTCACTTCCTGATGTAGTGGTTGGAAGTTCGACTTGAGCGATTCATACCCTCGAATCATACCTCAAATCATACCCCCGAATCATACCCCAAAAGAGTAGGTGTAAGAACTAGGTGTTAAGGTGAAGCTTTTGGTTGGTCTTTGTGCCTTGTATATAGATATAGATGTCCATGAACCAATGGTGCATGATGTTTGCAACTGTGTGACCCACAGGCACTCAATTTGGCCAAAATTGTTTGTTTTCTTGTGGGAAAGAGCAAAGGCTCACATCCAGGGGCACTTAATGTTCCCAAGTGCTCTCCCTTGGGAAATGGCCTTACGAATCACACCCGATGCATGCCGATTCATACCCGAATCACGCACCTCCACACAGTCTCCCACCCATTCCACATCCTAGTTGGTTTGGTGGGGCCTGCAGAGGGCCACTGGTGCACTGTAGTCAACAGGGTCGTGCTGCTTTTGGTGGGGCTGGGGGCCTTTGGTAGAAGAGTGCACTTGCCCAGATTGCCCAGCAACCAACAGATGCTGCTTGCCCACTGCCTCATGGCGCAGAGTGGGCCCACTGCTGGAAGTCCAGCCAATCCAACAATACAATTTCAAATGTGCGAATCATCTGCGAATCATACCCTCGAATCATACCACCTATTCAAATTTCCCGGCTTGACTAGGGAAAAGCAATGCACATACGTACGTACATACATACATGCATGCATGCATGCATACATAATCCTCCGCCGAATAACCCCTATAGAATGGGGGAGGTCGACCTCCAAAATGACCTGGCATTTTATAGAGAGTTTTTTCTAGAATCAAATGTCAACCTACCTGAGACAGATCCACTCTGAGGATCTCTGAGGTGAGAAAATCATATATTGATGGGTCAACAGGTTGATCACCCTCATTTTATAGAGAATACATGACAATTGGGGACATTTTATAGAGGACATGGTTTTGATTCTATAGAGAGAACCTGGAACAGTAGAAGGTTGAGAGTTTACATTAGAGTGGATGGATGTTTTACAGTGAGGTAGGTTGGATTCTGATTCTCATTTCACGAAATATCCGGCGCATTCTTGTGCAATTTGGTGCATGCATTCCCACATTTCCTGTGGAAGAACTTTTGAATATTGGCCCACTATAAAATGATGTTTTTGTTCAAAATTCAGCCCACTTTTCTAAAATATTCTAAAATAAAAAATCAACCTGTGAGTGTCCAACCCTTTCCTTATAAAATGAATATCAACCTCTATATACATATCTTGTTTTTGGAGTGTCATTTTCTGTCAGTTTTTTTTTACAAAATTCAACCTTGCAATGTTCAATCATGTTTCTGTAGAATAAAATGCCAACCTCTTTTGCCATTGCTGCGTAACTTTCCTCCAAAATAATATGTCAGCCTTGATGTTACACCCACTTGTCTATAGAACGAGGACCACCCCTGGCTGTTTCTATTGGATAATTCAGATTTTGAGCCTACAATTCTGTTACATTAGTGCCTTAAAGGTTGACTCCCTTTATTCTATAGAGAAACTATGCTGTACACTGCAAGGGTTGAAAGCTAGATTCCATAGTGGTGCATTGTGCTCCCAGAGCCTGGTTCAGTCATTTATCATTATAAAATGGGGTTCTCAACCCCCACCGGTTATTCCATAGAGGATCATACATACATACATACATACATACAGACACTTCGACAATTTGTATTCAGTTAGCTCAATTTCTCCGATGGGAAGGATGGCGAAGAAACGCAAGGTGGAAAAGTCAGCTGGAACAGTATGGTTGAACATGGTTTCCAATCGCACTCGAAAGACGCGGCTGCAAAGCTGTGCAAGTCTGCGGTCGGCTGCTGAAAGAAACCTGTTTGTGGGGTGGAACACATGAAGAACCATGAAACAAAACGTGGAAGAGTAGGGTGGACAGCTTGTGCAAAAGTTACGTGGCAGGTACACACCAAAGCGTCCTCTGGTGCTTCCCCTGTCACATCCCAGCTTCGTTGGGCCAGGTTGGATGTGACAGGCCTGGCCCCCCTGCCTGATTGGAGTGGTCGAAGGAAACCCTTTGTCCAGGGGTGGACACACA